ATTTAACAATTTTAAAGAGACACTGAAAATATGGGTTACAGACAGAAAGGCCCAGAGTTTGGAACATCTGATTAATCAGAATCTCAAACGGTTTCAGAACCTATGGGGATTATAGACATAAAAAACAGGTGTTATGCTACAGAGCACCAAATCCAGATGATCTATTACAATACATTGTCATTACAATTATAATAAGGAATCAGAACATATCTGTAAAGAAAGAATTGGCTATGAAGGGAAATGTCACAAAGAGGTTCAGAACAAAAGCAATAGGGACATCAGCAGCTGAAACTGAAATGGCAAACACAGGTAACAACTTCTTTCTCACTCAGTGTGTCAGAGCACCTAGGAGAGTGGAGGTCCTCATCAATGTGATTTAACATTTTCAAACATTCAAGGCAGAGGAGGGAAAACAGGGGTGGGAGAACAATAAAGCAATTGTGACAATAATTTGACATGTTTTTAAGTATATTTATAAACTGTACAGAGTCCAAAACAAAAGTTTTCAATTTAATGACAGCAGAGTCTGAAGGAAAGAGACACATTTTAAAATAAGCAGAAAGGGACAAGTTAGTAAGGAATCTGGCAGTGAATGTAGGGCAGCATTTAAAAAAAATATTCTGCTTGAAACAAGTTGGTAACAAAAACAAGCAAATCAAATAAGAAAATGCCAAGACCCAAATGGCTTAATAAATTAAGGAGAAAGACAGTCCTTTATAAAATGACTGAAAAGAACAGGATGCATTAGAAGATGTTTACAGGATACATTAGAAGGAGGGAGACCAAAATAAGTGCTACAATGCAGAATAAAATAAACAACAAAAGGTCTCAATATTATAACAGAGGAACAGAAAAGAATTAATGTAGTGTTCTTTAGAAGTAATCATAGTAATGGATATATAGTACAGCATCTAATAAGGTATATTTCGAATGTTAGAGGAGTTTTTTTCCATGTCAATTATTGATTCTTAAATAGAAGAGAGAAGATATTCAAGGTAATGCATATAATTTTATTGAAAACTGGTTAAGAGAAAATGGAGAGTACAGGGAAACTATAAATGCTAAAATTGATTTGAAGTAATCAGACGAGTACCACAGGGATTTATATTGTATTGGGATAGTTAGGTCTGAAGTGGGATTTTCACAAGGAACTCCCAAAATAATATTAATAACAATACTACAATAACTAATACTAATCCATCCATTTTCTAATCACGTCTTCAAATTCAGGGTTGAGGAGGAGCCAGCGCTGGTCACGGAAAGCAACAGGCAGAAGTTAGGGTACACCCTGGACACGATGCTAGTCCATTGCAGGCCACAGACACAGACACACATGGACACTCACAACTAGGGCCAACTTCCCAGAAGCCAATTAACCTTCTGTGTTGACTGGCTAGTATGTTTCTGGACTGTGGGAATAAACCAGAGCACCCGGAGGAAACCCATGTGAACACCGGGAGAACGTGCAAACTCCAGTGCTGCAAGGCAACAATGCTTAACTACTACTTCTACTGCTACTACTACTTTATTACTAATAATAATACAATAAATTCACTTCTACCTAATTGACTCAAATAAACCGACAGTGTCAACTTCTTTATTCTCACTGAGGAAAAGTACTGGGACAACTGACTGATACAGTAGGTATCTCTTGTTGGTGAGGTGTCTCAGGAAGACAGGAAGGAGCTGATTACATCCTATCAACCTGTTTTGTTTTCTCCTCAATGTTTGAAAACTGCAGTCAAAAGTCAAAATGAAAATCAAAGAATATTCTATTTAAGAAAAGCAGGTCAGTTTGAAGATGAAAGAAAATAAGAAGTAAGTCATAGCACAGAAGCCAGGCATACTAACATCAACATAAAATCCACAGTTCTCAAAAGACTGAGATTAGCAAGATTACAAATGTTACATCTCGAGAAGTAAATCTCTCATCAGCACCATGAACAGAAAAGACAGATGAGAATTTACTCAGAAGTGCGAAGGTAAGGCCAGGTGAGTTTTGGAACAAGGTTTTATAGGCAGATGTACCCAAGATAAAACTTTAACAAAATAATGAAAAGGTTAACATGTGGAAAAAAGACAGAAACTGCAGATGCTCCAAAAATCGCTACTTAATTTGTGAAGCATAGTGGAGGTCATGCCATACCTGGCTGCCTCTAGAACTGCTTCATTGGATCTTTAATATTGATGCAACTAATATTGGTTGCAGCAGAGTTAATTCACTTGTAGAACCATATTCTCTATTATGTAGAAGAAAAAGCTTCCATTTTTATTGGATGGTGCACTATGCAACATAACAATGATCCAAAACATACAGCTAATGCATCCAAGGAGTTCATCAGGAGGAACAAATGGAACATCTTACACTGGCCAAGTCAATCTCTGGATTTAAATCCAGATTTATTTTACAGGCAGAAACTCTGTGGCAGCAAAAATGTGGTAAAATAAGGCATTTCATATGATTGGACAAAAAGTTGGTTTGGGTCAATTAGTCACAGACTAAAAGAGATATGCAACCAAATATTGGCTTTAGGCTGAAAAGTGAATGTGCCCCAATACTCTCTTGAAATCACTAGGAAGTACATCAAGTATGTTCTATGTTCAAAAGTGATCAGATGTATGCATGGAATTACCTTAAATTAAAATATAACGTATATTTAAATGTATTTATCACTCATATTAACTTCATGATTACATATACAAATTGTTAATTACAAAAGTAAGTTTTGAGATAGCTATCCCAATATTTTTTTTGAGGACAGTGTATGGAAGCAGGGCTCAATAGTCAAAGTGTCTTTTTTTCTGATTTTCAGCGTGGAATTAACCTCAACTTATTCTTTGTAGCTTGCATGACTCTGCTCTCCACTCCAACATAAATATATAGGATTATTCTCCCCAAATACTGCCTTATTTTTTTTAAACAAAGATGCTTTTATACTTATTTTTTTCCAAGCCAAAATAGAATAATGCTTCAGATACTGACACAAGCTAGTTGGAGAATAGGGTGGTATTAAGGTTTCACAACAAACATTAAGAATGAAAAGAGTGAGATGGAAGACTGGCTGGGTTACTAAAAAGAATTCCCTCATCACCACAGTAATGTAGTCAACAACAATAAAAGATTATCTATAGCTTTTTAAATAATACCTCCAGACGGAAGGAGCTTTCTTCCCAGAAAGATATCTTCACTTCAGTTAAGCCGCAGTCTATTTCTGTTGAGCTCAGAAATAAAATGATGAATAAGAAGAAAACCAAGAGAAGACTTTACAGAGGAGTGTCTGCACTAGACTGTGAAAAATGGAGCAGTCAAACAATAAAGTTGGGGCAGCCTCACGCTGTTGAATACAACTGATGATGTGTGTTTGGGACAGCTAAGAGGTTGTGCATGTACATATACAAAACTAAATTTTAAACACAGATCTCATCATTAAAGTACATATAACATACAGGATATATTTGGTTAATTTATTCCAGGCACATATACTGTATATAACAAACCAATTTTCTTTGCAACATCTTTCACTCAATATATAAAACACTAGGTGAAAATACTGTATGCCATGGTACACATACTGTACTGTAAATTACGTATACAGTGTATAATTATAGCTGTTATCTTCGTGTTGTTTTAATTTTTATCTGGTCAAATATTTTTTGGTTCTTCTATCACTCTCTGAAACATTTAATTATCTTTTATTAATAGGTCTTTTTATATCTATAGGAGTATACAGTAAATTAAAGAACCTCTTTTTGCAGTAGCGTCATATGTCGATATAAGGATTGTGTGTGTAACTCTACTTGATGGTACATTGTGAAAAAATACCAAGACAATTTCAGAATGTTGTTGACGATATACAGTATAGTAATGTACTATATATGATATTGAGCTTATTATTTCACGTGAGACAAAGCAATAAAGACAATACATTAGGAACGAAGACATCTCGTAATATTAAGGTAATATTAAGATAAGATAATGCTTAAACGTGATATTTAATCTAAATATTAGTGATGTTTAATCTAATACCAGTAAGATTGATAAATACTGTAGGTACTGAGATGTCTTTGAACACGTTGTGCAGTCGCAAAAAAAAAAACAGCACCACGTCAAGTTCTGAACGAAGCATAGTGGTATTGACATCAAAATTAAACATGCTATTAAAGACAGAATAACTCCAATATCGTATTCTAGAAATGTTACGTTTTCTCTGTGGCAAATTATTTTACAATACATCTTCTGCGGTGGTATGCCAAATAGTCTCCGCACCGTGAACACTACCTGATCTCATACAAAATGACATCAGCGGTCGTGTCTAACCCCTTGGCAAAAAGCCAGCAACCTGTCCACTTCTTTGATATTTGTAAAATCTTTGAGTCACACTAATTATTCTTTAATTCGAGCATCACGTAATGATTTGAAGTAACACCGTGTTTATATCCTATTTCGAAACATTTTAAAAGATCACGATAGTGTTTTATTTTACAGCCAACGTGCAACAGAAACGTGGAAAGGACCCACGTACGTCTATTTGGTAGTGAGAAGACAACTGAAGACAAATTTTCGTCGGGGACTAAGGTCATTTCTGGTATTTCGTGGTGGCCTTTTTAAATAACGTTTTAAATTCACGAATAGCCCATGCCGAATATTTTATATTTAAACATTTCGTTGTATACAGGTCTTGTCCATAATAAGAATAATTGGTCGTCTATAACATTTTTACACTTGCATCACTCGGCATAGATATACAGTAACTGCCTTATGCTCCTCCAACTCAGTTTCTCAGAAACAGTCGCATTCAATGAATAATAAATCAGGCGAATTACAACAAAGGGCATTTTCATGCATGGTGAAGCGCAGTCTTCTAAATGCAAAATGCACCTGAAGAAAACGCTTAATTTCTCGTAATCCGTATTCTAATTTAACAAAACCAGGTGAAGGTAAGGCACTGCAGGGTAGTGCTATTGTGTGGTAACATTAAATAACAAGTCCAGTAACTCACCGTCCTGTGGTAGGACTGACATCAAATAAAACAGATCCGTATCTTTTATCTTTGTAGAGAGAAATCGTTCCGATAAACCCGAGATGGCCATCCATTCCGAATCTCGTTCGTTTCTGCGTGGCGTGAAAATGTTTTCGATGATGGTAATGTTTTCTTTCTGCAGCTGATTTTAAAAGAGATTCGGCTGATCCGAGACCCATAGTATTGCTGCAGTGTACACGTTGTGCGGGAAGTGGCGTCTTGTCACTTTCACTTAAATGGCATTGAAACAGAACAATCTCAATGAGAAGCCGACATGCTGCGATGGAGCATTTCGAAGAGCTTAAACACACGAAGAGCACGCATCGTTTTAAAGGAACATTCTGCCTTTAAGCGGCAATGGTTAAGCCTGTTAAAGGAAAAGGTGTTGAACACTACAGCACATCTCAGTTGTGTGTACAAGATAACATGCGGGGGAGAGGGGTGCCTTATCGAGTCGCTGGAATGCTATTCCGTGCTGTTTTTATAACATGATATCTGATTGTATTTTTTTAAGTTTTGATTAGATAGTTATAAACTGAAATTGCATTTACTGTATATCTCATATTTCACGTAGGAAGTGGGACAGGTCTCCAGACAGGTAACATCTTTGGTAGTGTTCGTTTCTTCAAACAGTTTTTACACGCCTGAGTATGCAGTGAAACGATTACTGTATAGAAACAACCACATTTCTAATCTTAATAGTACATTTTATGTGTCATGTCAGTGTCTTTGATTCAGTGAAGGACAACTGTCAAATTGACCATGGATGAAAAATATATATTTGATCTTAGCATTTTTCATAATATGTATTTTTTTTAAATCCGATCAGCTGATTGGTCAGCGTAATAAAATACAACCCAGAATTTCAGCTCTCAACATGTTACAGCAGTGGTGCTTTGGCTTGTTATACAAATATCATATAATAATCGAATTTGAAAATGGAAACTTTGTTCGGACCATTGCATTACAACGGTATTAATAACATCCCATTACTTTTTATTTAGATGACATGAGCTGCAGTTTATTTACAGCCTTGTATCAACTAAGTAGCAGAGAAACAAATGTGATGCTTCTGATTATGCTAAACATCCTCATGGATGTTTTTCAGAACACATTGGTAGATACCTGGCATTGCTTTCAGAAATTTGCAATCACATTTTACCACATTGAGTAATCGTGTATAAGAAAAAAATAATAAATTCCAGACCTGGGGTGCCATTTACAAGGAGTTTGTGTGTTCTCTCTGAGTTCTCATGGCCTTCCTGCGGGTGCTCCAGTTTCCTCCCACAGTCCAAAAACATAGTGGAACTGTAGGCTAATTGGCCCTGGTGTGAATGTGTGCATGTCTGTGTCCGTTTGCCTTGGGATGGACTGACGTTCTGTCCAGGGTGTATCCTGCCTTGTGCCCATTGCTTGCTGTGATAGACTCTGGCTCCCCCACAACCCTGAATCGGTGTCACGATTGTAATCCCTCCCTCTTAAGGGTGCTCCGGCTCTTCCACAATTTAGTTGATTTTGTGCACTTGCTCCCTGTTCCAGCCTCCCTCCAAAAGCCAGACACTCACTCTGTTCCGGGCTCTGCATTGGAACACAGATGCCCAGAGGCCCGTCTGCCACCAAGTCGCCCTACGTCCGTGGTTCGAGGGCATAGACCTCCTATCGGCGTCCCAAACCAGCCGAGTCTGGGACCTGGAGCGCCTGGTCCCGTTACCCTTTTTAATTTCCCCGACCCTTCACCGGATCCTGCTCCGGTTTTTAACTTTGTCGTGTTGTCATTTGGATTCCCTGGTTTTTGGACTTTTGGACTTTGCCCCGGTTTTCCCCCTGGACTCCTTCGGATCTGTTCGCCTGGACCATGCCCCCCTGAGCACCAGTGCACACTCATCACGCCCCCCTGTTCGTCTACCAGCCCAGTTCCTCGTCTCCTCCCCGTGTCTGTTCACTTCCTTCCGGATTCTGCTGTCTGCATAGGACCCTAAAAGATGCATAACAATTGGATGAAGTGGTTAGAAAATGGATGGATAATAAATAAAGCATATTTGTGAAATACATGCTGCACGTACTGTATCATTATTTTTCAGTCCAATCCCTCTGCACATCCACTTCCCAAGGCTACAAAAGTCTTTGAATGAAAGTTGACTTTGGAATGAAATCATTGTTTTTTTTAACGGAATAAAAAGTTCCCTGGGCCATGTCTGCATGACAATTAGTGCTTTGCTATGAAGTTCCAGCCTTGGAGCTCTACTTTCTAAAAGGGCTCTAAATGAACAGCAGATCATATCTAAATAAAAAGTAATGGGATGTTATAAATTACAGAGGCATTGACAAAGTCAACCAAGTGGATTTCTTCAGTGAAGTTCTTGTGTGAAACACAAACCAGAGGACGAACAGTGAGTGGGTACAACATGGAAGTACAGTATGTGTCTTTATCCTATGGGTGGCGGAGTATGGAAAAAGATATCCAGTCACAGTATTGAAGCTGATGCCCTGACTTCTTTGGAGGAATAACTGAATGGGATCCTGGAATAAATAAACTACTTCCAAACCTGTTACAATAGATATGCCAAATGGTTTCCTGTCATTTATAGCTTTTTAATGTTGATTACGCAGACTTAGGCAGATTAGGAAATCTTTTGGTGCTAGATCCACATTGTAACGTGGGTGGAGAAAAGCACTCCATTGTAGCCCTTATGGTGCTATGCACTGTCATGGTGCAGGATGGCACCAGTGATGAGTGTCACAATAGGACGTGTGCCTCTGTTTCATTTTGCAGATGTGTGAAGGTCATTGAAATAGTTCAATGATGTCACAATCCTCCCTACCCACATCCCCGCACAAACGCACCATTGTAAAACTGACTCATTTAGAAATCGGTTTCTTGTTCTGCTGTGTCCTTTACCCTCTAAAAAGTCCAAGGAAGCACAAAACTCCATTATATTTTTAAAGCCGTTATCCTTCTAATCCTTCTTGATTTTTCCCAACATGCTGTAATCATTACTTTCCTGACACTTGAACTTAACTTGGTAGCTCAATGGCATAAATGACTGCTTAGTGACGGAATTGTGTCTGTGCTTGAAATGAAGAGGAACAGAACACCAATTCCCTCGTTAAAAGTAGTGGAAATAAACATTCCCTTTGTTATAAGAAGCAGCCCCCTTTTAAAAAACCTGTCTCCACCCCAAATGGTGATTATTTCACACTTACCTTCACCACATCCTAATATTGTCCACCAGTGAGAATTCCTGATACCCACCAAGCAAACACTTTTACAGAGCTAAAGAATTCTGGCAAAAGGTAATGGCAAATAATCCATCATGGGACACATTTCTAGTTACCCTTCCCAGTCCTTCCCAGGAAAAATAAAAGCATTCAATGGATTTTGACTTATTTTGTAAGATCACCTATTTGTCACCTAACCTTTTTTAAAATAAAACAATCCCAGATCTCCTGAAGACTGTTGGCCTATCTCTATACTTCTCTTCTCTCCAAATCTGTTGAGCAAGCAGGTCAATATTTACTCTCTTTCTCCATAATTTCTGAACACTTCTTTCTCGGCCAAACACAGTCCACAATTTCACTGAAACTGTTTTATTCTGTTACTAAGTCTTGCAATAATGCATGCCTTGTCGACTTCTCAGCTTTTGACAGTATTGACCAAGACATACTTCACATTTTTCTCTCTGAAGTTGATTTATAATTAATTTGGTTTACTTTGTTCACTTCCTAACACTTTTGATTGTCCTCCCATGTTTCATGTTTTGAGTTTCTTTGATCTTGCTCTTCACTTTTCCCAGTGATCCTCAAGCATCAGTACTTGGATATCATCTTCATTCTCTGTGTTTCGGGGTCACATGTATCTGTTTCTGCATCTCCTACTCTCCCTTTTCCTTCTTAAAGCTCTGATAATTATCTTATAGTTAAATGATTAGTTATATAACTGTCTCAGAGATATCTCTTCAAATTCAGTCTGAATAAAGTTTCTACTTCTCTTCCCTCTTCCAATCTCTCTATCGGTGTTTCCCTGTAATTCTCGAATCTATCATCTATACCTTTACAAATCACCTTGGTATTTTCTTTGATCCAAAGCACTCCTGTGCCTCTGTACATCTTTTCCCCCAACATGAAAGGAGTCCCACGTATGTCTTAAGGATAAATCCTTTCCTTAAAGGGGAACTGCAGTCCCAATTTCTCAGACCGGTTATTAAATCTTGGTACAAAACAAATTCATTAATGATTTAGAAGGAATTTACACATTTCAAATTGAGTACGAAATTTTGAACTTTGCGAAAGTACTGTAAGTTGCCATGTTTTTGCAAACGCACATTTGAGTTCCCACAAATTGCAATGTGATGCCCTTTCTGCTCACTAGTCATCACAATGACTAGTGTAATGTGATGTATGAGCAAATACTGTAAATACTGGTTGTGCAGCAGACGTTTCATTGCAGAAATGTTCCAACGTGATCTGCACGCATAGTTAACAAGTAAGTAGTTGTCAACAAAACTGTCTCAAGTTAAATTAAAAGAGGTTTAGTCACAATCCTGGTTTGTTATAGAAGTTCAGGTAGGTACAGTAGCTGCGTCAGCATGCCTAGGCAGCAAAGGAACAAGTAATAGGTTTATTCCATGCTGAAAAAAAGAAGAAAGAAAACACGTTTCGGCTGTGGAGCCTTCAGGTGTGAGAAAGACAGGGCGGTAAGCAAAGGTAATGTGGCGGGAGTTACAGGGTTTGGAGCTGTAAACTGAGACTTAAGCAATTGCAGATTGGGAGGCTACAAAATAAATATAATTGAAGATTTTAAATGGAAAAATAAATGGCATAAATTGCAAACCTTTTTTCAGAAATACACTGTCCTTTAAAACCCTTTAAAAAGAGTTGCAAAACATTTATTCAATATTCTACCATTCCTGTCAGTTGTGCAATAAATAGCAGGGTAATATGCCTAAAATAAATCTGATTCTTTTGATATTTTAATTCACACGTTCTGCAGCTCAAATCAGCTGGGGAATGCTGATAAAATCGATTCAGCGATAATTTCTGCTGCAACATCTGCTTAGCACTGTAATAACAAACCTATGAATTATGTCAGACCTCTTTATTTTATATAATAAAAATGTCTTCTGGAATGCTGATACTAGCTTTCTGTTCACACTGTTCACACTAGCATATGGAAAAGGTTATACAGTACAAGGTGTAGAAAGAAGATGTCTATGATTCTCATGATAATATGACCACATCTGAAATCTGATATTAAGGCTTCCAGGTCTCAATGGTAATCACCAGTAATTCTAATTTTATTAACATTACCCAACTAATTCAGAATATATTCATTAAAAATATCCGAATTAGTGGAGCACAAGTATACAAGCCTTTTTAGAGTATACACT